TTACAAAAGTACCGCAAGCTTCGTGAAAAGGGGGGTACTTGTGGGTGTATATTCGCCCTCATGCGGAGCAAGAGGGCTCAGCAATCTGACTACAGAACCCACATACATAATCATCATAATTTTCAGGGACACCTACAGTACTTCGTCGGCTGCCGCGGGTATGTCCAGACGTGAGAAGTCTGACCATATCATCGTCGGTGGTCTAGGACTCGGTGGAGCTGCTTTCACTGAAAAAGCTGTGATCAAACAATAAACCTTCAATAATTATAAATAATAAATATTTGATAGCAGATCGCAGTGAATTAACTCGAAAAAATGGAAAAGTTTCAAGATGGAGGACCCTTGAAACCTCTTCGATATAAATATCATTTAGTGATCCAAATAAAACTTATGATATTTTTCGTTTAAAGGTCACTCAGCAATGTTGCGGTTACAAATCCTTTTTTAGAGACAACATCAGCAAAGAATTAAGACAAGGCTGTTGAACACCGTGCCCTACCGATGTCATGGAGGAATGGGGATGAGCGAAATTTTGTTCGCTTCTTTTGTTGTCGTTTGCGGCCACAAAGTTGGGAAACTTAAAGGGAAGAAAGTAAAGAGAGCTGTGAAGTGGGCTGTAGTGGGGGGGGGGGGGGGNGGGGGGGGGGGTAAAGGGTCAAGAGTGGGATTATACTGACGTTTTCCTTGACGCGTGGTTGATACTAACATAAGTTGGAGCGGTGAGAGGTGCTGCTTCAAGACTAAAACTAGACTAGTACTAACTGCGTTATCTACCTCTATGAGGCGTTAGACTGTTGATGGAGCAAAAGTGGCTGAGAACCAACACTGACCTGGTTAAAGCAAAGAATTACTATTCCGGTGATGAAGCCTTCTGTCAAAGTATTCTTTTCGACGACATTACGGGCCATTTGCAGAGAATGAGTGTCTTTGAACTCAAGGTTGGCACAAATCTCCCTCTTCTGTACTTTTGATAGTAGTCCTGGGTAATTTCATTGGTCTGAACGATTGAAGAAACCAGGGGCGTTTAGAGGAATTTAAAAATCTTTTGATATTCTCGCATACAAAACTTTTTGCTTTCATATGCCGCTGAAATATTAAAATTCAAGAGTGCCATGTTCAATTATTCGAAACGTAAAATTTTGAAATACTAACTACCGTATAAGAGGACAGAAACATATAAAAGTAGAATCCCTAAATTCATTCATAGCGGGCGATATGACAACATCTATACCGTGCCTAACAATGCCAGAGACATCCTGGTGATCCAGTGCTCTGTTCTGCTCGACTTACAGGAGTCCTTCTGCCGTAAAGAGTAGTGCCGGAACCGATTCATACTCCTACTGCTGTCGAGTCCTGACTGAGAAGGAATCAGTTCGTTCGATTTTTTCAGGGAAAAATGCCTTTTGGCGTCTCCCTATCGTCATTCTCTCGGTCATCTGTCACAATTTCGCCGAGCCTAATCATCACCGTTCACCATTCCACGATTAATTCCCACACTCTGGATGATCGCGTCGCTTTTGTGGGGAATAAACTCACAAAAAATATAACTCTATCGTCAGACAAACTGTAATCGGCCACTGAAATACTCAATTTCAAAGCATCAGGTTTAACCCAATGATTCGATAATGTTTGGAATGCTAACTACCATATAAAAGTACTCAGGCATGTAAAAACGGAACTCTCGGGTTCTTCGTCAGATTCGTTTCCTTTTCTAATGCACAGTCTGAACGTCTCTGAGCTTCAGGAGCCACTTTGAAGGTATCTAAAATCACCTTGATATTCTCGTATACAAAAATTTTTTGCTATCGCATGCTGCTGAATTGACCAGCTTTGGAAGCGTCAGGCTTGAGCCTTCTATTCGATAGCATTTGAAATGCTAATCACCATATAAAAGGGTGAAAGCATACGAAAGCAGAGATTCAAGCTCCCTGTCATGGTCTCCTACACTACATACTCCTTTTTGTTAGGAGAGTTTTTTTTGTTTGGTGGTCCAGCGCCCTTTTTTGCTCGATTTAAAAGTCTTTCGATTCAAACAGAATTCGGAAACGGAAACGAATCCCATCCATTGGACCTCATGGCGAATCCTGACTGAGGCACCGGGAGGCATCGGCCCCGTAACTTTGTTCTCAAACCATTCGAAACCACCTACGGGGGTATACATCTCATCTTGAATAGCCACTGCGACCAAGTATCCTTCCCTTGTGAGAAGAAATCAGCTTTTGAGATGTGTTTTGCAGGAAAAATGCGATTCTGGTGTCTTCTTATCGCCACTCTCTCGGCCATCTACCACAACCCCGTCGAGTCTCGTCATCAACAATCACCATTTTACTATTATTTCCCACACTTTGGATGATCGGGTGGCTTTTGTGAGGAATAAACCGCTGATCCTGTCGTCAAATAAATTGTAATCGTGAACGGTATGACAGCTGTTATTAGCAGTTTCTCAGTAGGACCTTGTTGTTTACAGTCATGGAACAGTCCAGAAGGCTATTTCACTGACAGTTTGTTCTGTTTGATCGCTGTACTGTCACCATGCACCTCTGTCAATTCGTTTTTTCTACAAACAATTGCTTGATAAATTTAATTTCCATCGCTTGCTGTTGACTAATAACTGAAAAGTTCTAAAATTGCAAACGAACCACAGCTGAAGATGATCCACCTTGAGGGTAAAGAAACAGTTTCAATTCTTTGAATAATTTGAATAAATACGAGTTCTAGAGCACACCAGGCACCCATGTTTGAAGTCTAAACCTGGTGGTTTTGAAGTATGGTAGAATTATAAAGCGCTTAAGCGCTTTTTAAAGGCTTTCAAACTTTTCCCTGAATCTTTTAGACTAATTGAATCCTCGAGGCTGCATGCAAAAGTGAATCTTGCGTTTTAGTGCTCCCATCCTGTGCAGCTGTCCGAAGGAATGCACTTTGAAAGAAAGGTCAATCACTGGAACCAATCCAACAGATCAAAGTATTAGTTTTAGGCCAATCACTTTTTTGCTCAATATTCTGATTCCTACACTACATTTATTTGAAGCAGCACTCCTTCTCAACCCAAACTGACTATCAACAACGATCAACGAAAATGCCTTTACGATCCCACTCCTTGGCCTTAACACGATCGACGGCAGCCCACTTTCCTGGGTGTGGTGCAGTAGGAACGAAATTGTCGCGTCGCGGCGAGAGAGACGCCAGAATATAGCAGAATGCAGCAGCAAGTAAGAAATACAGGAACAAAAGAAGTAACAGACAAATCATGCCAAAAGTAATAATCGCATAGCGATTGAGCTGTATGAAGAACGCTAGAACTGTTATAATGATGCAATGCGACAGCCGCGTGCGGCGGATCGATTACACAAAACCGTTACTGCTGCCCGCCACCCCACTTCCCTTGCATCAGCTTTTATGTATTTTGGGTAATGAATGAATATTGTTAAAAGATCTACTATTTTCTACTTTGCTACAAGCAGCACTAGCAGCTCAACACCTGATACTCTACAATCTTTCAATGGAACTGATTTTTGAGGATCGATCAAAATGTTCAGCAGCTACAGGCCTGTTGGCAGTAACCAGTTAGCCAGTACGGTCCCTTATATTGCAGTTACTTTACATGTCTTTATTGTTCTATGTTGTCATATTATATGATGAGGCTTCAAGTGAAGCGGGAATAGTGAATTACGGCAAGGACTGATTGGACAGCGTGTGAGCTTGACAGAGGTCGTATTCGTGCGGTGCTAGAGTCGGGCGTAGTTTTACTTTTCTGCTGGGTCAGTCATTTTCTCATGAAATAAGGAGCTGCTCCTCCACCAGGAACTAGAGTATTAAAGGCACCGTTTACGATAAATTTAGGGTACCCTTTTTTGACGGACGGGAATTCATAGAACTACTCCAGAATAAAGCGATAACAACGAAAAAAGCGCAAAAAACGATGAACAAAAA